GCAGCTTGATACGACCGCAGAGGTCGAACCCTGAACAGTTGGGGCAAGTATGGACACAACATTCAAGCTTGATACAGCTCTGAATTTGGATTGTGATTAAATATTTGACACAGCATAGGTTTCTGACACAGAAAGAATGTGGTCTAAGAACTTCAATTTTTTTAATTTACCTATTATGGTCCAATGTCCAAAATCAAAATACATGGTTAGATTCAGCATATCAAAGAACCCCATATATTCAATTTTTGTTGAAATCAAACAAAGTTTAATTTTGGACCCCAACTTGGACAAACTTGAAAACTGGTCCCATAATCAAAAATCTAAACACATGTTTAGATTCAGCATATCAAAGTACCCGAAGAATTCAATTTTTGTTAAAATCAAACTAAGTTTAATTTTGGACCCTTTGGACCTTAATGTAGACAAATTTAAAAAACGGGACCCTAAATTAAAAATCTAAAAACACAGTTAAATTTGGCATATCAAAGAACCCCAATAATTCAATTTTTGATGAAATCAAACAAAGTTTAATTTTGGACCCTTTTGACCTCAATATGAACCAATTTGATAGCGGGCCCACAAATAAAAAATCTAAATACATGGTAAGATTCAGCATATCAAAGAACCCCATATATTCAATTTTTGTTGAAATCAAACGAAGTTTAATTTTGGACCCCAATTTGGACCAACTTGAAAACTGGGCCAAAAATCTAAAATCTAAATACATGTTTAGATTCAGCATATCAAAGAACCCCATATATTCAATTTTTGTTGAAATCAAACAAAGTTTAATTTTGGACCCTTTGGACCTCAATGTGGACCAATTTAAAAACGGGGCCCAAAATCCAAAAACTTAATACACGGTTAGATTCAGCATATTAAAGAACCCCAAGAATTCAAGAATAAAACCCCATTGAAATTGATCAAGAAATAAGCAATTTATACGAAGTATCTTCTTTTGCACAATACTGTGCAATTGAATATTTCTTGCTATTGCGCAATACTGTACAATTGACAATTTCTTGCTATTGCGCAATATTGTGCTATTGGATATTTCTTGCTATTGCGCAATACTGTTAAATTGAAGATTTCTTGCTATTGCGCAATACTGTGCAATTGAAGATTTCTTGCTATTGTGCAATACTGTGCAATTGAAAATTTCTTGCTATTGCACAATACTTATTATATAATAATTTACACATCCTGTTTGGTGTGTATCTCCTACCATATCATTATTATTTGCTTTTAAATATAAATCAGAAATAACCAACTTAAAATGGAAAATTTTAAAAGAAAAAAAAAAGGAAAAAAAGAAAAAAAAAAAAAAAAAAATCCCCCCCCCAATTTTTTGAACCCCCTTATGATTCATCACCCCCAAACTCAATCCCAGCCTTCCCTTTGTGGTATGGTACCTTGCAGTACAATTTCAGAGAGATCCATACACTTGAACACAAGTTATTGTCTGGAAACTAGAAAAATGCTTATTTTTGGCCCCTTTTTGGCCCCCAATTCCTAAACGTTTCGGGCAATTACCCCCAAACTCAATTCCAGCTTTCCCTTTGTGATATGGAACCTTGTAGTACAATTTCAGAAATATCCAAACACTTACACACAAGTTATTGTCATGAAACTAGAAAAATGCTTGTTTTTTGCCCCTTTTTTGGCCCCTAATTCCTAAAATTTTGAGGCAATTACCCCCAAAATCAATTACAGCCTTCCCTTTGTGATATGGAACCTTGTGGTACATGTCAGAGAGATCCATACACTTACACACAAGTTATTGTCTGAAAGTTACAAAAATGCTTATTTTTGGCCCCTTTTTGGCCCCTAATTCCTTAACTGTTGGTACCATAACCCCCAAAATCAATCCCAACCTTCCTTTTGTGGTATTGAACCTTATGGTGAAATTTCATGGAGATCCATTCACTTAAACTAAAGTTAGAGTGCGAAAACCAATGTGTCTTCGGACGACGCCGGACGACGCCGACGACGACGACGACGACAACGACGACGACGACGACGACGACGACGCCAACGTCATACCAATATACGACCAAAAAATTTTTAATTTTTGCGGTCGTATAAAAAGTACATGTATCTCTCCATGTAGACTTGATATGAGGGATCTATAACCTTTTATCATGTGGACTATGACTGAACCCTTCTAGCATATAGATTATCAGAAATTAAAACATTTAAAGTTCTGAAGAAATTCAGCGTTAATGTACGTATGCTGATACCCATTAATTAACAAAAGAAATATTTTCATACATTGATTCAATTGACTGCAGCATTAGTACAATGCAATCCAATACATGGTAAAATAAAATATTGGATGATAAATATCAAGAATGAAATCTATGTATGACCTGGAAACCAGGTGCAAAACACAAGTATTTTTGTTTAAGGCCATTCAAAACATTCCATCAGGTTCTCAGATAAATTCTAAAATAGAATAGAGAATGGAACGTGGGAAATGTGTCAAAGAGACAACAACCCGACCAAAGAGCTGAAAACAGCCCATGGCCACCAATGGACCTTCAGTGCAGCAAGTTAATCCAACACCCTGAGGCTTCAGCTGGTCCCTAAACAATATTGTATACTTGTTCAGCAAAATGGATATTTAAAAAAAATTGAAAAATGGAGTTGGCACTCATACCACATCTTCCTATATCTAATTAAAATTATTAAGAGAATGTTTTGTTTTTGTAAGTTAAGATACATCTCTGTTAGAGTCTTTCATGTGTTCACATCTGATTTTCCTATAACTAACTACTTGTTCAGTTTCATAGAAATTTGTATTTTCTCTCTATCACAATTAAACATATACAAAATTAAACTTGCAGTCACCATTGTCAATAATAAATCTCTACATTTTATTTTGAACAGAAATACATATATTTTATTTCTTTTAGCTGGTTCTTTAGAATCTGAGATCTTGGTCAGAGAACCTTGTAATTGCATTAAGATTCTGTGCAGTTAACTCTCTAGAAATTAAAAATGGCAACTGTCATATTTGTCTTTCGTAAATTTTGTTACAATATAGGCTGTTAGTTTTCTAGTTTAAATTGATTCATATTTTTCATGTAGGTGCCTTCATAGTTACTATACCATATTGGTTTTTCTCATTGTTGAAGGCCGTACAGTTTATTACCACTTTATTTGGAACTCGGGTGAATAGTTCTCTCATTGGAAATCATACCGAATGTCCTTATTTTTTTATAATTTTCAGATTTCAGACACTTGCCATTTATTATCTTAAATGAGACATATATAAATTTTGCAGTAAGTCTAATTTTACAAGGCTACTTACTAGTTGTTCATTTCTTACAGCTAGCCTCGTATTTTTATGAGTTTTTAACTGGAACATATATATATATGGTAACTGCAATGTTCTTGAATGAAAAGCCTATAATGCCCCTTTTATACTACTGGAATATTTTTAGATTCATCAAACTTGATGTTTCAAGCTAACCTTAAACTAATTTCAGGGGCTGAAGAGAAACTGCTTTAGAATCATTTACTCACAATACCATAAAACAACTCTATCCCTAACTCACTATCAGGTTTATTATTCTGCCCTATTTATACTGACATTGGAGCATTCCGTGAGTCATACACTTCTAATAGACTGAATGCACTTAAACGTTCAGGAATAAAGACATCTTAAATTGGTTTACAGTCATAAATTTAATCTTTTAATGTTCAAAATATTAAAAAGAAATACCAGAAGAGCAGGAACTGTCAGTTTTTTAGTTTTAGTGTACACTTACATTTTATTTAGATGAAGTTAAAACTGACAGAAGAACTAAGAGGCAACAAATGTTAAAGTTAAAATTCTAGTAAAAAATGGAAAATTCTCATCTGTGCAATAAGAGATACTAAAAATTTGGTTAATTAATTCGTTATCAAGGAATTATAGCATGTATAGTTTGTAGAAAAGAAACGACATTATTATATTTGAATAATGAAAGTGCTTTTGCTCCATTGACCATGTTGACAATAATTGGGTAATACTAATTCTGTAACCCGAACAGGAGAGCCTGAGGCAAAAGGTTAATAATAATATAATAGATTATCAAATTTGTAGAATCATCAGAGCAGCCAGGATCTACTTCTAATTAGTTCTTTAAGGTTCATGTGGACCCTTTGTCTAAAATGGCTGCATTTTCACCTCAAAATTTACTCTGAGTACAGACAAACCTGTGCATCTGGAAAAGTTTTAAGGCATAGCATGCCCTAGATAAATAAAATTCAAATATATTTTGTGTTTTAGAAAATTAAAAAACTTAACCGGATTTTTCAGTGCACTTTTTTTCATTCCACCAGAAGGTGCCAAAATAAACAAAGTTGGGAAAGATGTTTGAGAACTTCCCCACAGGTAATAATTGAAGTGAACTGTTTTGATTGACATGGACAATAGATGGACAATAGATACCTGACAATAATTGGTGATTTAAACTGTGTACCTGAGTGGACCATATCAAGTGAAACTCAACTGTTTGTTAATTTTATCATCTTCTGCAGGGACGAAAAAAAGTGCACTGCTAAATCCAGTTAAGTTTTAAATTTTCTAAAACATACAATGCATTAGAAGTTTATTTATCTAGGGCATGCTATGCCTTAAAACTTTTCCAGATGCGCAGGTTTGTCTGTCCTCAGAGTAAATTTTGAGGTATAAATGCAGCCATTTTAGTCAAAGGGTCCACATGAACCTTAATTCTTTTTATTTGAGATTCAAAAGAAGTCTTTGCATTTTTATGCTGACATTAAAATCATGCACACTAAATGCCCTAACAAAGTAAGCTACTATAACTAAGTCAACTAAATTTGCTTTATTATTTGGTACCTTTTTTTATATAAGGGTAGCTCAGTCATGCATATGCACCGCCCACTAATGGGCGTGGTCTTGCACACAAGTGTCAGTTTTATAAAACAAATGCATTTAAAAGAATGAATACAAACTAAAGTGCATGCAAATATTAACAAGGATATATTACCGACACCATTAGCTATGCTAGATGAAAAGTCGGTGGATTCATCCATTTTCACTTTTCAGCGCACTTTCTGTGTGGAAAACGTCATCAGTTTGGTGTTCAACAGCTTGGTATATCTAAAATCCAACGTACTTATTTCAATAGTTCGTATTCGAACTCTTCAATTTTTTAAATGACAGATTTTACTTCTGATATAGCTCATTCACAATACTCAGAGGTAAAGTAATGTGATAGAATAATTGAGTTTACAAAATATCGTTCCGAACAGTTGTTTTACTAATTGACGGTGTTTGTCTAGATCTTTTCAGCCGCCATGAGTACACTGGGGCGGGAATATTAAAATCACAGTTCTCACTTAATATGCCTGTAAGGAAAACTATTCAAGTTAAAACATGATATATTGTCAGATCTAATCAATACCAACAAAAATGTAGAATTAGATAGCTTAAACATTCAAAAGATTCGTATATATGCCACCTGGGACTATTATAATATACAGAGACATATATACACAATATATCTACACATGTGTATATAATAATATATATGTCTCTGTAGTATACCACCTTTTATTAGATAATTTAGGTTTACAAAAATGACTGTTTACATCTCAAACACTACTGTATGCACAGGGGCTTGTTAAGTGGGTCATATGAGGTTTAACTGTCAATGGCAGTCGCTATCCTATATAAAATACCAAAATAGGATAGTGACTGCCATTGACAGTAAAATCTCGTCTTTCCGTATAGGAGAGCGACCTCCATTGAAGTAAAACCTTGTCTGACCGCTTTCGAGATGTTTCAGCCACACATTTCAGATAGTTCTTAACATTAAGTATATCATTAATTGGTTTTACAGAAGACTAAGTTAATTTGTTTTCAAAAAGGAATATTATTTAACAAAAAGCGATTTTGCCGGAGAGTGCATATATGCTCTGAAACAAGAAGACTTTTTCTTATGTCACACATGATTAAAAATATAAAGAATAGAGAATATAATGGGTTGTAAAAGTCTAAAGAATAACTGTGGAAAATAAAATAATTGTGGACAGCAATTTTCAGAATGATTGAATCACATTTACAGTTATTGTGTAATATTAAAGTAAATAGGTATTTTTTTCAGAGACTACATACCTGTCAACTGACCCATATCCTGTGGGTGACACCCGTAAATTTAACCCCCCACCCAGGATTTTTTAATCACCCGCCGGGTAGTTAAATAACCAGAGAATTCAGAAAATGACCCCGTTTTCTCCAGATTCTTGGGCCTTTAGACTGATTTCATAAGTGATTACCCTTTGAAATACCGGCAAATTCGTAATTCTTCTTGGACAGGAAGTTCAACTAGCTGTATAAACTGTCAAGTTAAGTGACTCATTAAGAGCACGGCTTCACTTGACAGCTTTGGTGTCAAACACACTTTTAATTAACACCAATTAGCTTAAGGTCATAAATAATTTATGTATTTCAAAGTTGTTTGACAAAAAATTTGAGTTACTTCCCCTTTTTTGTCACCTTTCACAATATACTCATTAAATTTATGTTTTTTTTGTAAAAAGATTAAATCTGAAGCAAATTGAATACTAATACAAATCAGAATATTACTTTTTATTATTTTTCTACATTTGTACCTTAGAACAATTAGAAAATTAATATTTTGAAAATTAATTTTTTCATCTCTACTTCTTAAAATGCTTAAATTTTTTATGTTACTCCAATATCAACTAACATCAATGAATGCTACTACATACAGCTGTACATGTATGTTGTTAATATGGCTTATGAATTGGTTTAAAATATGAAGAGGGATTATTGGTTGGCTTGTATTGATTTAGTATAATACATTAATATTTTCAATGACATATAAATGCAAAGTTTTAAATTATTTTCAGTTAATACTTAACCATGTGAACATTGTTTGGAAACTTTGATTTAAAATATAAAAATGTCCCCTAAATACTTAAATTCAACTGAAAAAAAGTTTGTATGGGTAATGACCTGAAATTTCTTCTTCAATGCAGGTCATGACCTGCATTTTCATTTTCATAGGTTGACAGGTATGAGACTAGTGTCTCGTGTGGTTTTGTCATAATCCATTACATTTTTTTTAAATTAAAGATTGATTCATGCTTTTTGGGTTCCATTTGTTCCTCAAAGTAATATATTCACCAACTGTAAGTTTGTATTACCTTGAACTTGGCTTGGATCCTCAGGTCTGTTTATAGTTATATATCTTGTTCAGTGTTTTCTCAACAATTACTTAACAAAAGCATAATTAGTACTTTAGATATATCAAAGAAATGATAATTAACAGTAAACAAATGATAAAAACAACAATCCTCTTTATTTTTAATGCCCCAACTACGATAGTAGTAGGGGCATTATGTTTTCTGGTCTGTGCGTCAGTTCATTCGTCCGTCCGTCTGTCCCACTTCAGGTTAAAGTTTTTGGTCAAGGTAGTTTTTGATGAAGTTGATGTCCAATCAACTTGAAACTTAGTACATATGTTCCCAATGATATGATCTTTCTAATTTTAATGCCTAATTAGAGTTTTGACCCCAATTTTACGGTCCACTGAACATAGAAAATGAAAGTGCGAGTGAGGCATCCGTGTACTATGGACACATTCTTGTTTAAATTTTTATCAAAGAATATACATTATGATTTAAAATGTATTTTTCCATTTGTTTCTTACGGTCTGCTTCTAAAATCAGTTACATTTTCCCTCCCTCAATATAACAATAAAAACCATGGCCAAAACAACCTTATAAAGTATGGCCTCCACCAAACGGCATAAGCAGAAGTATAACAATTGCATTTTGTGATTCATCATTCAGAATGGTAAAAAAGTCTCTAAAAAGTAGCATTGGTAATTATTTCAGCCAATTAGAAATGTGAGTGATGGCAGGTCATTTAAGGAAAGCCAGCCAGGACAGTACATTTATGACCCCATGTTTTGTATCCATGGGGGTGACATTGAGGATGAGGAGAGTGTTCCAGACATATCACAGCTACCATTCCAGTCCTACTTGAGTACTCCTCAGGTAAAATTAGGTTTGCATTACTCACATTTACTGAACACTTGATGTTGTAAATAAGCATGACATAATGAACAATCCAGTAAAATGGACCTTTGCAGATGTAAATATTTTTCGGATCTGTCTTTTGACTCTTTATTTAAATGTTCTTAATTGCTGAAAAAATCAATTGAATGAAAAGAATCTTGGATTTCTTATTAAGTTTTTCCTGCTGATTAAATCTGTGGTTCTCTCCAGACACTCCTGCTTCCTCCATCTATAAAAACTAGTAACGTCCATGATATAGCCAAGAGTGCTGAAAGTGGTTTTAAACCCCAACTATCAATCAATTTTATTAAGTTTAAGTGAAATCAATTGATTCTTATTCACCGAAGTTTTGTGTAAAGTGATGAGGGATATACACCAATGAGATAGCAAGCCAACAAGACAAAAAACCAGCAAATGTCTAGAGGTCAACATACATACAGTCTTCAATAGTGTAATAATTAAAAGTACCGGTATCAAAGAATTTAGCTCAAAGTCCTTTAACTGCTGATATGAATTGCCACCCTGCCATTATATCAGTGTCTGAACTTCAGAGTAGATTTCATACGTAAACATCATAAACAGTTCATAGAGACGCCATCTTGTGCAATGCCTAGAATAAGTTTTTAAACAGAATTTTGTTTAGTATAAGTACAATTTTTTTCAAGTTAAACTAAAAGACCGTGCCGGACCCTCATGGGTAGTCAAGGTCATTAAACACCCCCCTAGTAGTAGTACCTTCAGAAAAAACTGGTCAAAACTAAAATCAATTAACATACCTGTGAGTTAAGTTCAAAAGGGTAATAGATTATAACTAGTAGTAAGAAAAAATTTGAAGCTGATAAAGTTATCAAATTGCATAAATTGAATTTAGAGTTTATTATAAAAAGAATTTAATTCAATCTTTAAGCAATTTTTTTATCTGCAGAAAAGTCCAAATAATGTAGAAGAAGTACTGGCTGTTACTCCAGATGACAAGAAGACCCGCAGCACTGGCCAGAATAAAACACCAAGAACTATGATGAAAATGATGGAAAGACATAGAGAAAATGAAAGGTATATATGATGAACTTGATGTTGTAACTTTGTATTTTTTTCTTGCGATATTTCAGTTAAGATTGTCACATGAGCTTGATAAAAAGTATACACTGTTTAAAAATTCAAATCAATCTGACAGAACTCTCGTTAATCTGCTGTAAAAAATGTTTCACTTGAGATATTTTGATTTTAAAAGTGTGTGCTGTAAAATGTAGAAAATTAGAAGTTTTATTTCAGGAAGCTTGTCAAAATTGCCATGTAAACTAGCTTTACCATCACCTGAGGTCTACCACAATCTTCATCCAATTTTAAATTTCCAAACGATACATTAACCAGATATTTAAGTATGTATAAGGTAGAATTTATTCTTTCCCAAATAGAATTTGAACATAAAAATGAAAATTGTATTTGACTTTTCAATGAACCAAAAAATTTGCTCATAAGGATATTTGACTGGATGAATATATATGAAACAAGGACTGTCTACTGTTTTAATTCAAATTGTTAGCTAATACTTTAATATATTGTTGGATTTCTTTTGAATAGTTTGTTCTTGCTGGTGTCTAACCATATTGTTTGATTGACATTATTTGATTGCAGGGTACGTCATCACACGTTAAATAAAAGTATGAAGAAAGTATGTGACAGAGTTCCTGGATTAAGTCCATTCATGAAAGAAACAAAGGTACACAATAACATATTAAAACTACAAGGGCCATTTCAAAACTGATATTGGTGGGGAGGCCCTCAAATTAATTAATTGTTGGTGGTTGCAACTTCTTTAGAATTTTGTAAAAATTACCAGTATAAGTAAAATGAAAATTTTATATTATGTTGGTTGGGGTCTTAAAAAGTGCTCTCATGGCCCCATGTGTTTAATTCTGGAACAGCCCAAACACAGATAGAGACAGGAATCTATGCTAGGAAAGTCCATGAAAAAAACACCTATGAAACTTGAAAAACCAACATTGCAAATATTTGATATTAGAGAATTTATTTGTAGTGGTTTGTAAATTTTTTGATGGCTTGGTAAGGCCAAATTTCTGATTGTTGAATTGAGTTGGTCTATCCAATGTTTTGTTTTTTATGTATAAGCCAAAAACAAACCATTAACAAACAAAAAATCTAAAACTAAGGATTAGGCTAGTAGGACTTTTTGTCAGATGGGATATTTTCTTATTTGGCCTAAACATGATAAACTGCTAAAATTCAGCAATCCAAATGCCCCCGCCGTTATCGAAGGGGGCATTAAGTGTTACCCTTGTCCATACGTAGGGTCCTGAAATTGGTTTCCGTTTTCTAATTTTAGTTTACCTCAACCAAATGTTATGGAACTTATAAACAATGCTTATTACAGTCTGTGCCAAACTCTTTTGGTTTCTGGCTGACATTTGGTCAGACAGTGTTGTAGGTTTTGTCTGACCGAAACAGATTTTTGTCTGTCCGAAAAAAAATCAATCAAGCTTATTGTGTTGTTTATGTTTTTAAATGTACTGTGTTGTTTTATGGTAATATTTATGGTAAAAATTGCATTTCAGGAAAGCAGTTGATAAATTTTAATAAATAAAAATAATTGTTATACATGTATATATATATATTAGAGTATATTTTATAACTCGGACAGGAACATTTTAAAATTAGAGCAGCCTGTGATGAAAGTGTTTTGGATTCTCAAATTTTGAGATACATTTGCTCTGATACCATAATGACTTGTGCAAACTTCACATGACATCAGGGTCTTTATGTGTTTATGACCTTCCATTCATTATTGAATTTTCTCTCGGGTCTGTGCTCCTCATATTTGCGCTTTTTGTCATGATTGCTTCCTTCATCAGTCACGTTACGTTTCAAGGGCTTACTGGAGATATCCCCTTGAACATACTTCAGAGTAAACATTTTAACCGGAAGTTTTTATTTCTATCGATCTGTGCTCACGCATATCAAAATACAATAATAAGTCGCAGAACCGAGATGGTGAAGACACCAGACATACAGACCGGAATTGACATACGATTTGGTGGACCAGCGTCTATTTCATCGGTCTGGACTGACAGCGTTTGGCACAGACTGTTATAACCACAAAACACAGATCAAGTTCGAAATTGGGTGGCACTTATACCGTTCTTGAGTTATCCCCCTTTATAACGTTATATGCAAGCGGGGGCATCATCTGTGTGCCATAGACACATTCTCCTTTTATTTTTTACAGTACCATGATTGGATTAGTTTTTGTATTTTCAGGTTGTGATGATGCAAAGAATTATTGCCTATATTTGTTACCTTGAGAATACAATTAGCTTTGTATGTGGCCATCTTGGTATAAAACAACTAAGAATGTCAACTAATTTCATTACAGAACAGTGGACAGGTAAATCTAATGACATGTAGTATTGATAAGATTGCATCAAACACACCCTGCCACAAAGTTCAGACAACTCAGGAGAGGTATACAGGAATCAATGTGCATGTCTGTCTTTCCTTGCAAGTTGTTTCCATTCTAGCTGAAAATTTGGAAAACCTTGAAGAACATTAATGGTATTGGTATGATTGTTGCCCACCAATTTTGAAGTTTGGACTGTCTATCTCCAAGGTCAAGGTCAGAAACTCTTCACTTTTTTCAAATAATACAAAGTTCTCATTAGCTAGGAACTTTGAATGCCTTGATGTAGGGTGACTGTCAGTTTTATAATGGGAAATTGTTAGTTTACAATCTTCCCATGAATAAAAATGAATCAACATGTTTTATTTGGCAGAAGCCAGTATGGTTCCCCAATGCTATGCATGTCTTTTTATCAAAGGTTTCACATTTGTAATCTAATGAACAAAGTGACAAAGATTATCACAATCTTATTCATCTGTAATTGTTTTGTATGTCACATATTATGATGCATTATAATTTTGTAGTTAAAATTAAAGCTGACATGTTGGGGAAAAGATAATTGCCAAGAAACCCTCATAAATTAGAGATGTTTAGGGAAATCCTCAAAACATATATAATTGCCTATAAAAAAAGTATTTATTTTATTTAACAGAACCAGCTGAGAAGAAAGAAGAAATAACTATGATAAAGCGAAAGGTAATACATTTAAAAAATGATTCATCATAAAGCCATTACTGAATATCCATGAAATAATTGCCACTGAACATTAAGCAAGCAACAATCAATCACTTTAATGCAGTACTTTTAAAAGGATCTTAATCACAATCAAGATAAAATTTATTTACCATTACAGTCAAACATGCCTTAACGGTCACCTCATTTCAGCGGTCACCTGCCTCTAACGGTCACATTTAGACCATCCTTAATGTTTTCACTAGATAATTTATCTCATTTTAGGAGTCACCTGTCGGACTCGTTAAGTGGTTACCTAATTTATGCACAATATCGTCATTTCAACCTTAAACAACAGACATTTAGATGTTTTTAACTACCAAAATAATCATGCAGAAAAATGTATGTGTTCAGTATTTCACTGTCGCAAGAACCATAACTCTACCAATTGAAAAAACTTCAACAGTTTGTTCCAACCTTTATGGGCGAAGTCGGAATCAGAATTTTTTTTTTATCCTTTAAAAGGTCACCTTTCTTAAGCAGTCACAGGTTTGACTGCATATTAGGTACGCTTACTAGTGATCTGAATCATTAAAAATAAAACGAACACCAAGCTAAGCTTCCAATTCCATTTCAACTGAAATAACATGTAGTCATGTGATAAAGCAGACAAACTCATTCTGCCTAAATTTTGAAAAATTTAATGTTTGCCCTTTCCTACATATCCATGAAAATCATACCTACTTGAAATATTTTATTTGGATTTTAGATCAAGGATTTCTTTCCATTTGGTTTTCTACTCCACAAGGTTAAAAGTCGGTTGATATCCCATCACTATGTGCTATTTATAGAGATTTCTAGAGCTTATGTTGACTACCCCATTTTTATTTTTTTCTTATAAAAGCATATTGAAAGACCTTTTGTCCATTTTGTATGTCCTGCCTTCAATAGTAGGTAGGCATTAGGCAAACAAAAAATTGTTTATGGAAACCCGACTGACCCTAATTTTTTAGAGCCAATCTTAGTTTTTTCATTGAAAATTGGAAAAATTACATTTTCAGCAGTGTTTTTCTTGATTGGGAACTTCTTTTTGCTCAACTACTAGCTAAATGCCAAAAATCATCTCATTCAAGTATTGTGTAAAACAAAGTAAAAACATGGCTGACAAAATCAATTTCAACAAATAACCAGAAACTGCAAAAAATAATGAAATGCAATACCAGATCCAATCCACTGTAAGCACACCTATTTTTTGGCCTCATGTTTTCTGGTCTGTGCATCCATTCTTTCCTCCGTTTGTCCTGTATGAGGTTAAAGTTTTTGGTTAACATAGTTTACCATCAAGTTGTGTTCACATCAACTTGAAACTTAGTGCACATGTTCATTATGATGTGAACTAATCAATTATTTGAAAATTATAGTTTTGAACCTTATTTCATGGTTCATTGAACATAGAAATTCAGTGTGAGTAGGCATGGTACTTATGTGAACAGATTCTTTTTTAAAATAACACATATTTCTTAAAATTTACAAATAAGTACTCACCACGATATAGACATTTGTAACAAGGCGGTGTCAGGGCAGACACCATTCATGATCATTTCTACTGAGTTTTTTTATGCCCCACCTACAATAGTTTTCTGGTCTGTGCGTTCGTTCGTCCATCTGTTCGTTCGTCGGTCTGTCCCTCCTAAGGTTAAAGTTTTTGGTCAAGGTAGTTTTTGATGAAGTTGAAGTCCAATCAACTTGAAACTTAGTACACATGTTCCCTATGATATGATCTTTCTAATTTTAATGCCAAATTAGAGTTTTAACCCCAAATTCACGGTCCACTGAACATAGAAAATGATAGTGCGAGTGGGGCATCCATGTACCATGGACACATTCTTGTTTAAATTTGCTTTATTGCGAACCCAATGAAAGTTTTCCACAGTGCCATCTCTATCTTGACCAGGTATTTAAACTTTTGCAAGTTCACCTGTCCTATTGAATGAATACAATAGCTATTTTTCTCTGTGTAGTTTATTCACTGGGACCTTTAAATTTCTTCTAAGAGAAATCTATCATTCATTGATTAAATTACCTGTGTAAAAAAAAATTCTTATATATAGACAAAAATACCTTTTTTATACTCATTAATTGCGTGTGCTGATGTATTTATTCAATATCAATAATATATTTTCATTCAGTTTAATATAAACATTGATTCAATCATAAAAAGTTGATTTTTAACAAAAGTTTTATCAATGTTCCTATTGAAATTTGATTTTTTTTTGTTTAGTTATAGAATACATTTAAGAAGATCTTAATTAGAAACATCATTATTTTCAAGTTCTTATTCATGTCAAACAAATTTTTTTTTAAAAGGAACAATGTTGAAAGTTTTGTCAGAAATCAAATTTTTATGATTGAATCAATGTTTATATTAAACTGAATGAAAATATATTATTAATATTGAATAACTACATCATCACATGCAGTTAATGAGTATAAAAACAGTATTTTTGTCTATATATAAGAATTTTTTTTTACTCAGGTAATTTAATCAATGAATGATAGATTTCTCTTAGAAGAAATTTAAAGGTCCCAGAGAATAAACTACACAGAGAACAATAGCTATTGTATCTATTCAATAGGACAGGTGAACTTGCAAAAGTTTAAATACCTGGTCAAGATAGAGATGGCACTGTGGAAAACTTTCATTGGGTTCGCAATAATAAAAAAATTTACTTTTTAACATAAATTTCAAGAAAAATTATCTCAAAGTAAATGCATTTGTAGGTGGCTCCTAAAAATAACAAGAAGATGCTGATAGAGAAAAGAAGACAAAAGATATCATCACCAACAATAGATTCAACAACAGATGATCTGTGTCATACAGTTACTCAGGAGATGGTTGTCAACTCTCAAGACTCGCAAGGAGTATCCTCAACGCTAAAAATAAATGGTTAGTTTTATAAATAACATTTAATTTAGGTTAGAAAGTTTAATTTTTAGCTCTCATTAGTATCCCTCCTTTCTCTGTACAGTTTTTTAAAGACATATAATAGAAAGAAACATCAAAGAATGGATAAAAAGATTGAATATGTCCTGTTTTATACAGATTACAGTCTAACCTGCTATAAAGGTCACCTCTATTGAGCAAAAAACTCACTTGGAAGGTCATCCTCTTTTCCTTCCGTAGTAATACCTTTGCATTTTGAAACTTAATTGAAAGGTCAGTTTCCTCTGTGGTCTATAGGGTGACTTATGTACATATTAGACTGTACTTCATCCTATCGTCTCTTCAATAGAACTTTGAATTCAGTTCTACTCATAAGCAAAAAATGACAAGTTGTTCTAGATCTGTGATAGATTTTGTTCTTTTCTTCCACAACGTTATTGGTTTTCAAAAGGTACTCCAATTTCGTTGCCAAAAAACTTCCCTCTGAAATTTTCAATTTTTCAGAAGAGACATTAAGCCTCTTCACCAAACAAATGATACTAAAATGATTGCAAAAGTAAATCTGTCAAGCTTGATTTCATTATCCAAAATGACATTTAAGTGTTAGTTTGTAATAGTGCTTGCTCATGAATTTGTCCATGTATTACGGTAAATATTTCATTAGAGCTGTTCCATTTAAATTTCCATGGTACTAAGGCTCATGTTTTAGTTAGTTTGCCATTTAAGCCCTGCCTGTCAAGCAAAGTTTATTGAGTTAAAGTTTTTAGCTCACCGTTCCGAAGGAACTGTGAGCTTTAGCCATCACTTGGCATCCGTCGTCGTTGTTGTCCGTCTGGTGTAAACTATTTCAAACATCTTCTCCTCTGAAACTACTAAACCAATTCCAACCAAACTTAAGCTGAATGATTCTTATGGTATCTAGAATAAAGTTTGTGTTTTATTTTCTGTTTCGTCAAAAAACATGGCCGCCATAGCTAAAAATAGAACATAGGGGTAAAATGCAGTTTTTGGCTTATATCTCAAAAACCAAAGCAGTTATAGCAAATCTGACAGGGGTTAAAGTGTTCATAAGGTAAAGTTCTATCAGCCTTGAAATTTTCAGATGAATCTATTAACCCATTGTTGGGTTGCTGCCACTAAATTGGTAATTTTAAGGAAATTTTGCAGTTTTTGGTTATTATCTTGAATAGTATTAATGATAAAGATAAACTGTTAACAGCAAATATGTTCAGCAAAGTAGGATCTACAAATAAGTTTCAATGACCAAAATTGTCAATTGACCCCTTAAAGAGTTATTGCCCTTTAAGGACAATTTTACACAATTTGTTTATCATGTTTTCTAACTTTAAAAAATCTTCTCCTCTGAAACCACTGAACCAATTCCAACCAAACTTAAGCTGAATGATCCTTAGATTATCTAGAATAAAGTTTGTGTTTTATTTTCTGTTTCGTCAAAAAACATGGCCACCATGGCTAAAAATAGAATATAGGGGTAAAATGCAGTTTTTGGCTTATATCTAAAAAACCAAAGGAGTTAGAACAAATCTGACATTGGGTAAAAGTGTTTATTAGGTGAAGTTCTGTCAACCCTGAAATTTTCAGATGAATCTAATAACCCATTGTTGGGTTGCTGCCAGTAAATTGGTAATTTTAAGGAAATTTTGCAGTTTTTGGTTATTATCTTGAATATTATTAATGATAAAGATAAACTGTGAACAGCAAAAATGTTCAGCAAAGTAAGATCTACAAATAAGTTAATATGACAAAAATTGTCAAATGTGTCCTTAAGGAGTTATATTGCCCTTTAAAGACAATTTTTCACAATTTGTTTATCCAGTTTGCTTACTTTAAAAAATCTTCTCGTTTGAAACTGCTGTATCAATTTCAGCCAAACTTGGGCTGAATGAGTTCCAGAGTATCTAGTATAAATTTTGTATTTTATTTTCTTGTAGGTCAAGAAACATAGCCACTATAGCTAAAATGGAACATAGGGGTAAAATGTATTTCTTTGCTTTTGAAGAAAATATGACAAATACAAAGAATTTTTAAGCCACTCATTAATATATATTAAAAAGCAAAAATCATTGATGAAAGATTTAAGCAAAAAATTACAGGTGAGCGATTCAGGCTCTTGAGAGCCTCTTGTTTACATACATTTTACCCCCAAATATATGCTTGTCTTTTTGTTTTCAGAGGACATATTCTTGGATGATAATGCATGCTGTGTTCCTGAACATTATGAAGATCCTTATTTGGTAATAATATTTTATGTTAACCAGTCTTCTTAAAAGTTTTAAATTTTTTGTGCCTGACATCTGGTTAGGCAAATGAAAATGTTTGGCCGATCAAAATATATGGCTGGCAGATATGAAGGTCACATAGAAAAATTTAAACAAGTTGCTTTCTTTAAAAAAAGAAAAGCAACACGTGAACCCAAGACCGCTGTCTGGTCATCAAAAAATTGTTGCTGAATTTTTGTTTGCTTTTGAATTGAAACAGTTGACTGTGAATAGAATAAGATAATGATGATGCTAAAACACCTTTATTAAAAATAAGTAATTGTGTGTAGATTCTTGCACAAGTCAGTTGAAAGCAATATTGGATAGTTGTGAATAGAAAAGTGTATATTTACAGCTACTATTTGAATTTACATTTTAAAGCTCGACTATTTTATTTATTACTTGGAAATGAACATCATATTTTCATAACCCTTTTGCAAATCCCAGTTTCTACAAACCTGATATCTAATGCAAATTGCAATATAGATTTAAGCACTCAGTTTGCTTTAAAACGGGATGCAATTATTTTATCTATCATATCTTCATATTTTGTTTCCTGCATGGATGCCTTCAATTATTACATGAATACATATTATGAATACCTGAACATACTCTAAAAAGAAGAAATTTATTTAAAAAGATATGTAGATATAAAAAGATACCAAGATTTAAATGTTGTACGCCAGAAGCAAGTTAAGTCTACAAAGAATCAACTGTGACGCTCGAATAAAAAAAGTTAAAAAGGCCAAATAAAGTAAGAAGTTAAGTAATCTATTCCTTGGGTAGAAAATCCTTAGCATTTCGAAAATGTCAAAGTTTATAGTAGGACAGTGACTCAAAAGAGAAACAGCTAGAGGTCAGAAAGTAAGTAATGATGACCGTGCCTGAAAGTCTCATGTCAAGCTCTAACGGCCGTGTCCTGAATTTAGATAAGAAAAGCAAAAATTCGCATTCATGAGTGAAATTAATATTTATGCATGCACGTGTTATTTTTGCGCAAGAAATAGTAAATAGAAAGCATACGCACTGATACTCTGGATAAGAATACGCATTTGCATCAACACATACATTAATCTAATAGTTGAATTTGGATGTCAAACTACCTACCTCAAGTGTTTTGACTCTGGATTCATTGACATTTTATCCGGAATTTTTGTGAACGCAAACTGATAGTGTGCGTGTGAACAGGGTGATGTATAATGTGAATAAATCTAAGACGTGTAGGATAGCTGGTCAACACAATGAATACAATTTTCAAAATTGTACCATAGTACAAATATTTAGATGCTATAAGGTTGAACTACCGTAGAAAGGCTTGTATAGTTCGCAGTGGTACATAGTCCGCACCCCCTTCTCCCCACGAAATTTTAGGTAAAAAAACTTTTTGTAACTGTTAGAAAAGGTCTAATGAAACTCCGGTAAATTCAAATCCTGTGCGGTCGTTTGCTGTATTTTCTTGGAAAAACCTGTTTTCCATCATCAAACAGAAGCTGAAACTGCTTGTTAATGATTCTAGAACGCTTCATGATTGTTAAAATAAGTTTAATTCACTTAAAAAACAATTTAGAAACTTGTTTATGTTTAAACAGGAAGTTTAAAAAGCACGTGTAAAAGAAGAAATTAACCGGTGAGAGTCGAAATCCGTACATAACAGATATCACTATAATACGACTTTGAAAGTAAAACAGTTCTATCCTTTTGTAAAACAGTCTTTAATATATCTATCACATTAATGTTTGAAGGGTCTTAAGCTAATACAAACCATATTAGTCAGTATGAAACACCAAAACGGAACGAACAATAACCGATTTCGTTTTGTAGTTTACAAATTCTAAGCTGGTTTACGGTTGTCTTTTTCACTATGTTTGTATCGTTTCAATCGAGCAGATACCAGTTTATTTCAACCAATGCATTGAAAAGAAACGAGAAATTTGTAATGAAAGGTTTAGTTTTTATATTTATCAGTATTAATTTGATATTGAATAGAAATAACTTATTAATATGGATGAGTTAAAATTATTAGTTTGAAAAATGATAAGAGCGCCCTCTACAATAGAAATAACAAAGATGGCGGAACGTAAACAAACCACCTCGACCGCGAAATTGAAATTTTTCTCTTATTTCTTGCTTATTGTACTCTATAGTCCGCACCCCGTCTGGAAGGTCCAATTTTGGAGAATAAAACCGCGGACTATACAAGCCTTTCTACGGTATTAAAAAAAAACACACAAAAAAAGAATTGAAATTTTATAATAAACATACATTCCTGTTATTGAATTTTTGCAAAATTTTAGAATATAATATCAATAAACACAAACGTCAAGTATTAACGGATGGACATTTTATTTATCAAATTATTGTAAAATATTAATTTCGTTTTTTGTGATATGCAAGGATTTAAAATCCTTGTGAATTGAAACCATGCAAGTATTTTTTTCATTCACTAACGTTTAAAATTTAGATTTTTAGCTAACTTTGAGTACGCATCCCTGCTCATTGGTGCTCATATGTTGCATATAATTTTCATAAATGTAATGACTGTTCAAACATAATGCACGTTTATATGACAATTTTAATTATATTCTATTAAGAATAAATTCAGTCTCAGTTTTAACTTAATAATGAATATCTCTTAGTTTAGTAGAAACCATTAATGAAATTAGATATTTTTGACAGGAAAATCCTTTTGTTTGATTATCTTTCTGCTTTCCGACCACTGTGTTTCCGAGCTAAGATAAATATTTTTAACAAAAATATCGTTTTCTTAATTTTCTTCATGCTTTCCGACATTTTCCCATGCTATGATTGAAATACAAAATATCAAATGATAAATGTTCAGAAATAATCAGTTTATTCTGGGACATTATATATCAATAAACTATTCCCAGGTTTATTGTCACAATGCACAACAGCATGTTGTAATAAATACTACACACACACCGCGTATAGGGACCGTCTCAAAACATGAATTATATGATCGCGTTATCATCATACTTGATATTTAATAAACATTCACATTATTAAAAACACATATGTTTTGTCAAAAGGCAAATAGGTTCTAACATATAAACGATTTTGACTGCAACCTATTCTTTATTGTTTTACTTTCCAATCTAATAATGAACTTTGATTGTTGAAATATACAATGTCACTTGGTAGCCTATCCATAGAAGGACCATATCAAAGACATAAATAACTACCTGTATAAATGATCGAAAATTTTCGAGACATTCCGAGAATCTTGATTCCGAGGATAACAAATGGCCCAAGGCCATAGACACTTCCAAAACTCACCAATATATAAGCTGAGGGGTTCACGCAAAAAATGTCTTGACCACTTTTCCCCATTTATCACTTATTTCTGAGAGCTACTGATCAGTACTATATTTTATTAGTTACAGACAACAGAATTAGTGCTACTAGTAGATCAGCTTATTTACCTGCCTTTCTGGAGTGTTCTTTGTGGGTCTGTACAGCGTTGCTTAATCTTCACAGCACCTATTAAAAAGTTAAATACACTTGTTTTCATTTTTCCATTTATGCAGAAGTAGCTTGATATTAGTATGCATTTGCATTTTGAAAAATCAATGGTATTACCTTTCCTAGAAACCAAAACAAGTTAGTCCAAGTGGTCACTTTTTCACATATTACTTTTATTGTGTCATTCAGAAACATCATTTTTTTAATCTTTTTTTTAGAATGAAGATTTCCTGCCATCCTCCACAAAACTGGATAATTTCCCTGATGCGTTTGATTTGATGTCTAGTCCACTTGGTAAGATACCACACCATCAGACTATAGTAAGTATCATATGGAAAGAGATGACTACTTCATTGGCTTTTGTGTTCATTGTTATTTAATGTATATCGATTTATTTTCACATTGGGTTTGTTCATTGTTTGGGCCTTAAATGGGGCAGTTAATTCTTTTCTCATTATTCACATGTCCTCAGTGTCATGTACAATGCATTAAAATAGACAGTGACATGTTCATGCAGCATTCATTCTGCTGAAGTTTCCCGATATACTGTATGTATCTTCTTATGCCATAATGAGGATTGGTACTTGTTGGTTGATTTGATATGATTTTTCCACTCATCTATATTATCCTAATTGGCCTGTAAAAGAGTGGATGGGTTATATTTAATTCATGACTTTAAAAAAAATCCTAAATACACTTTTCAAAGTCAAAAGGTAGATGACAGAAGTTTTATTCTGTTCTCCATAAAAAAGCAACAATCAATAAATCACATTTTTCATTAATGATAGCAATGATGTACAGGGGAGATAATTACTTAAATGGTTTGTATCTTATTTTTATTACAAGATAGTAGTGATGTACAGGAGAGATAATCACTAAGAACCGGTTTTTTTTATACAAGATAGCAGTAATGTACAGGAGAGATAATCACTCAGAAGTTTTGTATCTTATTTTTCATTACAGGATAACAGTGATGTACAAGGGAGATAATCACTTAGATGGTTTGTGTCTATATTTTTAAATTACAGGCTAGCAGTATCTTATTTTTAAGTAGAGGATAGCATTGGTGTACAGGGGAGATAATCACTAAGAAGGTTTGTATCTTATTTTTCATTACAGGAAATCAGTAATTTACAGGGGAGATAATCAATAAAATAATTTATTTTTCATTACAGGAATCAGGAATTTACAGGGTAAATAATTGATAAGATAATTTATTTTTCATTTTAGGATAGTAGTGATGAATGTGGTATACGGGAAGATAAACAAGACATGGATATCTGTGAATCTCCTCTAAGAACCATTTCTCCTGACTGTGTTCTAGCCACAACTTTATCCCAGTCCTCAAATCCTCCAGCTACTCCAATAAACTATAGTATTACTCCCACTAAGTATAGAAACAAGAGAAAACAGAGCACACCCCAGAGATCTCCGTTCAATGATATTTCTAACATCTCACCACACAGAAGACAAGCTATGTCATCACCAAGTGATAGAAAATGGATGAGAACCGATAGTAAATTCTCTAAAGAATGTCCAGGTAGTATACTAGTCTATAAAATGATTTTAAGATAGATGAGGGTCTAAATGAAAAACTATAGAATTTTTTCAGACTTTGCAAGAGTGTAGTTTATTTCATAATATATTGAAAAGTAATGGTCACATAGCCTTTTTTATAGCTACAGGCTTTAACAAATATAAATAAAAAAATTAGGTCACCATACTTGTATTCTTGCTATAAAACAAAATAGGTAAATTTACTGTTCATTCTCTGATCTACCTTAAAATATATATATTGCTTTTCCAAGTATCAGCAAGATCTTATATTTCCAATAGTTGGGTCAATTTTGATTTAAAGATTTGATATGGATAAACTTCCATAAAAAAAAAACTGCATGTTTCTAACAGTGTTTTAACTGATAGCCAGTTTTCTCATACTTAATTATGCTCAGTTCACCTCACAGTTCAAGAGTTAACTTTCTCGAGTGGATACATATTGTAATCAACAGGGTGAGGTAGAATCCGTATCTATATCATAAATTATTTATATGAATATTTTTATTTACTTTTTCAGTTGATGAAGATTTTATGTCATATGAACCTGATATTTACAGATTTCACAAATCTGCTGCATCTCGTAGGAAAAAATGGGATGTTGAAAATCAACCTCCAAATAGTCAATCAAGGTACATTATATCATCTGGCTCTTTAACTTAACTTTACTCAAAATGCAGCACACTTTGGGTCGGTTTGAATATGCTCATTTTGATCAGAGTTGTATTGTCTGTAGAATTAAAGTGATCTATTAAAAAACTTTAAGCCTTCATATTGAAATAGTTATTCTACATGAACAAGTTTTTTTAATCACAAACATTGATCAATTAAATTAAATGTTATACATGTGAGAAAAAAAAATTCATTTATAGACAGGAAGAAATGTATTGGATAAGGAGGGCTACCAAAACTGTTAACACTGTTTCAAAAATACTTAACTATTTTAACCATAGGACTCATTATAATATTTTTAAAAAAATGGAGATACTTTGTTGTATTTTTTCAGTTCTGCAGTATCTTCAGTTTCAAAAATAGAAAAAATAGACCACAGAAAAACAACATGGATGAATGGATTTATGATGTTCAGTCGCTTGAATAGAAGATCATTCATTGAGTGAGCTTGTTGTACTTTATACATACTGCTTTTAATGATTGTTTGATCGTTGTTAGCCTAACATCCAGTGGCAAATATTTCATGCATGTTCAGGACTTCTTCTTTTAATGGATATATTGAATAGTAATTGTGTAATCTGAAGAATAACATTCAAGTAAAAATTAAAGTTTGATTGTTGTCTCATTGACATATACCCCAAATCTTCTTTTATTCATCGTCCTGAAAATGCATGAACTATTTGCCACTGGATGTTAAACAAGCAACAATCAATTCTATTATTCATTCTTAATATGAAATAGAGAATCTTACTGCTTTTTATACGCCCGTCAATTTTTGACGGGACGTATTATGGTATACAAATGTCCGGTGTCCGTCTGTCTGTCCGGCGTAAACATGTCGCACCTTAACTTGAGAATGACTTATCCAAATTTCATGAAACTTAACATAGTTGTTTCTCATGATGGTCAAACGATCTGTATACTTTTTGGTGAAAATAAGATTAAAACTTTTTGAGTTACGGGACTTAGTAACTAAAACAGGTGTGTATTTTTTTTCACATGTCGCACCGTCAAAAACAATTTATGATTATTGCTTAAAACTTTACACACTTTTTAGTTATATTAATCTTAAGATCTGTATACTTTTTGGTGATGATTCAAAATTTTATTTTAGAGATATTGAGTATTTTGTTAAAAAAGGGGGAGGGGTTTTTCACATGTCGCGCCGTATCTCAAAAACAGTTTATGATTATTGCTTAAAACTTTACACACTATTTAGTTATATTAACCTTAAGATCTGTATACTTTTTGGTGATGATTCAAAATTTTATTTTTGAGTTATTGAGTATTTTGTAAAAAAAGGGGGAGGGGTTTTTCACATGTCGCGCTGTATCTCAAAAACGATTTATGATTATTGCTTAAAATTTTACACACTTCTTAGATATATTAATCTAAAGATCTGTATACTTTTTGGTTTTGATTCAAAATTTTATTTTTGAGATATTGATTTTTTTTTTTTTAAAGGGGGGTTTTCACATGTCGCGCCGTATCTCAAAAACGATTTATGATTATTGCTTAAAATTTTACACACTTCTTAGTTATATTAATCTAAAGATCTGTATACTTTTTGGTTTTGATTCAAAATTTTATTTTAGAGATATTGAGTTTTTTGTAAAAAAAAAGGGGGGGTTTTCGCATGTCACGCCGTATGTCAGAAACTATTTATGCTTATTGCATAAAAATTCACACACAAGACGATGGGCGTGTCATGCGCTCATGGCGCAGCTGTTTATTGGTTTTAACATACTGAAGCCATTCTATAGGTAATATGCATTGAGTTTTAATAATCTTCAGCTTTTAAGTGAATTAAAATTTTTCTGATTAATGCACCCTTGATAAAGCTTTAAATATCTTAATTAGAGGTTTCTGCACAATATGTCGAGTATGATCCATTAAAGTCATTTGATATATCATATACTTATCACAGGTTGAGTTAGAATTTGATACATTTCAGGTTCATTATTTCATAACTATGCCCAATGATAATGTAGAAAAATTGATGAATTTGAGGTTTTGCCTATTGAATTTGAAACATTTTAAAATCGTGGATTCCCAGTGATGATCTTTGATAAGGTGGAAATAGACGTATTTAAGGTTACTGCTAAATAACCTAAAATATTATGAACAAAATGATCAAGTTATATGATACTTCAAATCTAACTAAATTATATGTTTGAATTAACTGAATGGTTAATGTTTAGTATCAAATATGTGTACATATACTTTCTTTTATTAGAAAAGCCTTTATATCATCCAAATCTTCAGGTTACTGCTATTGAATTATTGTCTTCCCATACTCTTATTCCCTGACAGCTTTTCTGTATGCAATGACCTTAACATGACACCTTACATTAGCAATTTGGCAATCACACTGCACAAGTGCAAGGAAAGAACTGTGATGAAAGAAAATGTAAACATATGTGGGAAAAAAAACAAATAAACAAAGCTCTGACATCTCACTTATTATACACATGCTTCTGTATTGATTTTTTTTCAATGCCACCATCTGTTAACTTCTGCAACAAAGCCAGAAAGATAATTAACAGCCAAAGTTGTTGATGAACAGTCACTGAAAGTGATATTTAATATGCCCCTACTGCAGCAGACGAGGCATTAAGTGTTACCCTTGTCCATCCGTACGTACGTCCCAAAATTAGTTTCCATTTTGCCTCAACCAAATTTTATGAAGCTTATCCACAATGCTTATTACCACAAAACACAGATCAAGTTTGAATTTGGTTGGAGTCACTGTTACTGTTCTTCGAGTTATGTCCCTTTATAACGTTATATGCTAGCTGGGGCATCACCTGTGTCCCATGTCCCATAAGAAAGGTGAATAACATCCACAGAGGACTTAGTTTAGTAATATGCATGCATTGTTTCAATAATTTCCTTAACATAATTACCAGAAACTTGTTCTCATTTGATTTTAACATAATATATTTAAAGGAACCACTAAACAAGTTCAAATTTGACAGATTTTGGAGATTTTTTATATGTTATCAGAGTTATTCCTTTTAATTATTGGGAAAAATGGACAAACTTTGTGGTAGATGTGATATATTTCTTGTTTCGACTTTATAATGTCTTGGTTTGCTGAACCCTATAAAATGTATGGAATTTATGTCCAATGTTTAATTTTCTCATTCTTTGAATTTTATTATTTTTTTGTTTCAGAGCTAACCCTGGTGTCCATACTTCGCATATAAGTAAAATGATGGGTCATGCTTGGAGGCAGATGACATCGGATGATCAATTCCCTTATAGGTATGTTACCATGGAAATCTGTAAATGACAAAGATGTCAGGGGGAGGGGGGGGGGGGGGGGGTCATGTCAACTTCTCAAAATTTTAAGGTTGGAGAGTTCATCCTTTAAAAAGAGGGATTGGAGATAATTTATCCAAGATTGCATTTGTTTCATTTGATTTAATGAAAATTATCATTTTTTCAATAAAATTGTTTGTTTTACTTATTTCATTAGTTAAGATAGACTCTTCTTTATTAGAATTAAAATGTCTGTTACAGTGCTTCTCTGGGGAAAAAAGAAAAGCTACAAAGGTGGCAAGTCTTGATAAAAACAATCAACACCATGGCCAAAAACTAAAGAACAAAATGACAATTAACAACAAAACAACACACAGAAAACAAAAGATGGAACAACATGAACCCCACCAAAAACTGGTGGTTAACTCAATTGCTTTAAAAGTATAAGCAGTTCCTGCCCAACATGTGGCACCTGTCATGTTTCTCATGCAAGCACAAATCTAGTGATAAGTTGCATTTGGTAATGTCTTAATATAGGATAAGAGGACGATAAGTGGAACATATCTGTGGTCATCTGTGACACAGATATTTTATAACAAGTCAACCAAATCATGATGGCGTCTATTAAACTTTTGAAGGGATAACTTCAACATAACCACTTGGAACCCTTGATGAAAAAGCTTCCTTTAATGCAGTTACCCTCTATCAAGGAAATCATGATAAAACACACTAGCTCTAAAATATGGTATCAACTTAGAGATATAGATTCTATATGCAGGCTCTGCTGAAATTTTGCCACAAAGAAATGGAAACTTCACAATCGGGAATTGAAATCATATCTCTTTTGTCATAATGTTGAGTTCACCACTGTCCCTCATTGTCAATTTCAGGGAGTCTCAAATATAAAATATTCTTGTGTAATTTTCCATACTGTAAATTCAGAATTTAATGTGTGCATTATTTATTGTGAAAATTTGTGACAACCAACAAAATGCAGATTTAATTAAAATGTCAATTGTTCTTGAACAATTGAGAGGTCTTTCCTTTTCAGAATAAAAAATACCTGTTCCAATAGGTATAGAATGCATTGAAAAGCTCTTAAACACACATACAACTGTAAAAATATTACAAAAAACAACAAATTCGCTATTTAGGACATGACCTTGACTTTTGACCTTGTGACCTTTGTGAAGGTCATTGGTCCACAATGTCAATTTAAAAGACCCCATGGGTCTAGGACCTTTGGTTCAAGAGTTAAAGCTAATTTTGTCTTTTCAGAAACCGTTAACGGGGGTTATGCCCCTTAAGAATATGTCAAATCTTTTCGGTCAAAATGTAAAAAAGTTGCGCCTCAGTCACCTAAACATTTTTCACTATTTTCTATTTCTGTAAGATTAACCGTTTTTGAGATATCCAATAAAAAGTTGTAAGGTCAAAGGTCAAGGTCAACCTTAAAAACCTTTAAAACACACTAAAAGTCCTTTAAATAAGGTCAAAAACACATAATTCGCTATCTGGGACATGACCTTGACCTTTGATCTTTGTCAAGGTCATTAGTCCCCAATGTCATTGCTGAAGACCCCATGGGTCTAGGACCTTTGGTTATATAGTAAAAGCTGATTTTGACTTTTCTGCCCCTTACAGAAAGGTCAAATCTCTTCAGTCAAAATGTAACAAAGTTGCGCATTAATGACCCAAACATTTTCCACTATTCAACACTTCTGTAAGTATTAAGGTTTCTGAGATTATCCCATAACAAGGTGTTAGGTCAAAGGTCAAGGTCAACATACCAATTTGACCTTGAGGAATTTTTCAAAGTCACATGAAATGAGGATGATAGGTGAAGATCCTAGGTTTCTGAGTTTTGGTGGCCAACCGGTTAATTTTCATAGGGTCTACCAATGAGTCATTGAATCTTTTCGATCCAAATGTAACGAAGAACCAGGGTCTGGTCCTGAACAAATTTCACCCTTCGCTTTTTTTCTACGGTGTTTGAATGATAACAAGGTTTTTAGGTTTTGGAGGGATTACTCCAAACCGACAAAATTTTGCAACTCACAGGGTGAGTTCCGGATAGGTATTTATGACACCGATACAAAGTGTAAACATGAAAGTGACACGTCTTAGTGTTAAGGCTGCTAACTTCGTCAAAGTTTGGCGGAAAAAGAATAATAATCAGAAGAAATACAGTAAGGTCTTTCCATTTTTGAAAAAGGAAAGACCTTAATTAGTGTCATATCTGCACATGTTACCAGCAAAAAATTGTGAGTAGTTATAACAATGATAATTATCACGTCAAAATTTTTCAATTTACAAAATTTTTGTTTTACCTAATTTCTGTGAGTTATTTTTTCCTTTCAGAGAGAAAGCAAAAGAATATGCCTCTTCAATGAAAAATCTGATGTGTGATGAATCTGTCTCCAGTGATAATGATAGCTGAACACATATTTGATCCATTCTGGAATGTGACTATCTGAAGTTTCTTAGGGTCAATCCCTCCTATTGAACTTTGATGTAAATGAAGTTGTTACTATCCATCATATGATAAGACTTTGTACTGGGACTATGCATGATAATGCCCCTTCGTATATTCTATACTTGATGTTAGGTCTCAATAGTTTTGAATTTTTATGTTTTGTTATAATGATCATGTTTTTATGGTCAATAATAAGGAATATTACTAAAACTGTGCAAGTTTAAATTATTTTATGATCCTACATTTCCGAGAGCCATCGGTGAAGTGGTGTTAAGAATTTTATAGTAACCTTATTTAGAATGTAGCAGTTCCTTTGATATTTATATATATATAGCTACATAATTTGTGACATTATATTTTGATGATGTTGGTCATTTATGGTAGATACTTGGTGCCGAAACCATTCTGGATATAATTGTTATCTGACTAAATTGATGTTAGGAAGTCATATTGCTTGAATGTACAAGCTAAGATAAAATAAAATAGTTGAATTCAAATTGTTAGTTCTCTTTAGAGAGCTATATTTAGAAAGGGCTATTGCAAATTATTATAGGAACAGAACATTATACTTTGTTATGGAACAGTCTTTTATATGAGTTTTAGTGTTATCTTTAAAAACTTCATTTATTTTTAATTTATCAGGCATCTGATATTCAGATATTAAAACAACATATATATATCTATTAATACCAACGAAGTAAAGGGAGCTTTTGGAGACCCTGTCCTTTAAGATTTCGACATTTTGATAAAATACCAGTGGATAGGCTTATTTCAACCAAAACATCTGTTATTGAAATATTTTTAATTCGAACAAGAATGTTAAGTTTTTCTGAGTACATGAGAAAATATGAAAGTTGTCCAATTCGACATCCTTGATGCTGTTGGATTTGACAATATGTTGACAATTTAACATGGTCGAATTCATTGATGTTCAGAGTGCTTAATCTATTTCTTCCCTGAGATATTGAAAATATTTTTGTTGTTGTTTATTGTTATTGCTTTTATTATGTTTATGATGATTTTATCGTTTTAATGAGATTTTTTACTCTAGTCCTATGTTACTTATGATATTTTTGTTAATGTTTTTTATTTCTATTTTCTAAACCAGTTTATTTATTTTGCTCATATATATAAAATTTTAAGTCCAAAACTTGCAAAGTTTTTGTGTGTGTTTAATTTCTATAATTTTTTTACCTTTGTGGTCTTTTGTGGCTGGTAAAATGTTATTTCATGCAATGTGTTTGCAATTTTTTTCACAAGTTTTCCTGATTGAAACTTGTTATTCACAGTGTTTGTGAAAACTGATAAAAACCAAGGTATAGCTATTTTTATCTCACTTGGCCCAAAAGGCGTCCGTCGTTAACAAATGTTTTACAAAAATCTTGATAAAGTATTTAGAGCAAATCTGACGGGGTTTAAATGTTCATCAGGTTATGATCTATCTACCCATAAATTTTCAGACAAATCAGACAATCCGTTGTTGAGTTGCTGCCCCTGAATTGGTAATTTTAAGGAAATTTTGCAGTTTTTGGTAATTATCTTGAATATTATTATAGATAGAGATAAACTGTAAACAGCAATAATGTTCAGCAAAGTAAGATCTACAAATAAGTTTACATGACCAAAATTGTCAATTGACCCCTTAAGGAGTTATTGCCCTTTATAGTCAACTTTTAACAATTTTTCGTAAATTTTTGTAATCTTTTACTAAAATCTTCTCCTCTGAAACTACTGGGCCAAATAGAATCAAACTTGGCCACAATCATCATTAGGGTATTCAGTTTAAAAAATGTGTCTGATGACCTCCCCTGCCAACAAAGATGGACGACGTGGCTAAAAATAGAAGATATGGGGTAAAATGCAAATTTTGTCTATTATTCTGATAACAGTTATAAATAGAGGAAATCTGAACAGGGTGTCCTATGTTGAATGCATATAGACCAAGGTGAGCGACACAGGCTCTTTAGAGCCTCTAGTTTTTTTTTTGCATTCATCGTACAAAGACCATTTATTTCCCATTTGTAAATACGTGAGATTTTTTTTTTCTTAACTGACCAACCTACCCCGATCTTTCACATAAGAAATCGGTTAACCAACAAATTAGAAAACCTGACTTATGTATTCACATACTCACTTTTTTTTTCTATTTCGTTAAGGTCTTAGTCACAACATTTTATGAAATATAATATTAGTAAGATGATCTGTATGCTCAATAAATTATGTTTCGATAAAAATATATTTGATTTTATTCATAAATATGACTGTCTCAATAATTAAATTTCAATAAGGAGTTGGAACACTCTTTTTATTTTATTTTATCCCACCATGTATACAATTTTAGTTGATTGTTTCCATTATTCCTTTAGGTAGAAATCTAGAAACATCGATCTCCTAATCAAATTTTATTCAAAGTGACTTATCATCATGATCTCTTTCAAGTAAAACTTAAAACTCTTTAAATGAATAATTTTAAAATATGTTTTCCCATGCTTTTAAATGAATATAACATTGTTTGATGTTATAATTGTCATCCTTGGGTTATTTTTCTTCCTTGTATATCTACATACTGTTGACTTGTATCAGAGTTGAGGTATTAGTTTACAGAATTTGTTCTGTAAGATTCTGTAAATATGGGTTTGTCAATGAAATTATCTCCCTTTGATGGGATTCTAAGCAGGAACATAGGAAGGGTCACTTGTATTGTTTTTTTATTATTTTAAATTGCATATTTTTACGTGAAGCTGATGCCACACCAAATAAAATTCCATTGTTTAACTTTCATGTACTTTTGAACAATTTCTGACACAAATAGATTAAAAATCTCAAATCCTGAGGAAATTTAAATGAAAAAGTCTCAAACTGCTATAATCAGATATGATATTTTTTAGATAGTTTTTAAAGAAAATCTGTTATCTCCACCATTTCTTGTGCAGTTGTTTCTTTTAAAAATTAATATAAAAGAATTAGAATCATACAAACTGTTTAGGTACTTGAACCATGTATTGGCTTCCTAAAGAAGAAAAAATATAATCTGGTATGACTTTACATATCTAAGGTTTGCTGTTTCCCTTTGTTTTCACAACAACAATTTGTGTCATTGTGAAGAAAGTAAATTGATAATGTCAATGCATAATTTACAGAATCATAGTGAGTATTGTAAGAAAGGTTTAGTAAAATAATGGAAACTCATTTTCGTCTTTCAGTTATATCAAAATCATTGTACAAAATATTTATTTGTTTGCAATAAAGCAAAAAGAGGTTGAGCAAATGATTTCATTATGTTTTTTTTTTTATATTTTTACCATAGTTGTACATCTTTTGGCCATACTAGAAAAGTATTGCCATTGAAATAATATTGTTAATATCAATTAGTCACCAAATTTAAATTGGTGTTTAAAAAGTAGATTAGGATAAAGGTCAATTTCTATCCCAAAGGTTGGCTTGTATATTCAGCACCACTTTTTTATTCAGCTGTGCAGTATAACAGGAAGGTGATTTTGAGTATGACTTTCCCAATTGGGAAATGAGGTGAACTTTATAATCATGAATTTAATATACCAATTTGTTTAGCTCATGTCCCAAAGGATCTATGAGCTTTTGCCATATCACTTTTCCTATGTTAATGTTGTCAGTGGTGGTGTATATTAACATTGTCTTCACAAAAACAACAACCAAATGAAACCAAACTTCAGATATGCTCCATTGTGGATCTAACCTGATTTATTATTTAAAATCAAAGACAGTGTGACTGGAGGAGTTATGAGTTGAGAAATGCTGAAACTTTGGAGGATATGTAATGCTTTTAAAATTCCTGACTTGGGACAGGTGCAAACAATTGCAGCGGCTTTAAACATTTTAATGGTACCAAACCTTCACCCTTTTTCTGAAACAATAGTGTAACATCACAACATAGAAAGACACACTATAAATATCAACTGAAATGGCTTAACTCAATCAAAGGACATATTAACACCACTGAACATACACTGAACAAATAAATTTGACCTATGATACAATGTAAATACAAAATAAATAAACTAAGGGAAGAATAATAAAAGTAACATGTTATACCACTATGAAATGTTAAACAATTTAAGAAAAACAATATGCTCGAACAAAAATATCAGCCATTTGCAATTACTTTAACTAACAAGGCTAAAAAGGGCAACATACATTAGAATGGATCAATTTAATAGCACTCTTGCATTCAACATTGGATACTTGCAAAATACAGAAAACATAATTTATTGTTTTTTTGTTTTTCACAAAATGTCAACCCTAAAGTGTTTTTACCCCTCCCCTGTTATATTACTAACAGTTAAAGTTCCATGATGATCATCAGATTATGAGGAACTAACACTGCATATACATTTTCAGTATTGGTATGGACATTAAAAGAGTATAGTTTCTCAATTGTGGGGAAAGTCTTGTGACTGCAGTGCATGCAAAACTATGCGTCACTCTTGTAATGTTTGGAGTAATTCAAACTGATTTTATTTTTTGTTGAACTTAGGTAACAACTACATATTAAAAAATGATCATTTATCAAAAAGAATTTGCCGTAATACTGTTTTGTCCCCCTGCGTAACGCTTAATGCGGGGGACATGGAAATACCAAGCGTCCGTCCGTCCAGTCTTGTTAGCACTCTCACAGGTACAATTCTTACCAGATTTTTGTCTCGCTTGACGGAGTCAAAAAGCGAGACATAGGTATGCTGTTTCCAGTGGCGGTAGCGGCAACAATGTATTAGTTTGTGGTGAACCACAAGTTGTAGGTCAATCATATTTGGTATACAGTTGTATTAGCATTGGCACATCTCATTTCCATGGAGATTATTTGGCCCTGTCCCCTCAGTCATGGTCTATTGACTTTGAAACTTTTGCTTATTTTACATGTAATAGTTTGTGATTAGGTCAGTTTATGAGGAACCATTAGTGGTAGGTCAATGATGTTTGGTATGCAGTTGTATAGGCATTGGCACATCTCATTTCCATGGTGATTATTTGGCTCAGCCTCCTTAGTCATGGTCTATTGACTTTGAAAATTTTGCTAAGTTAACATATTTTTTGTATTAGTTTGTGATTAGGTCAGTTCAAGT